TTTCCCCCTTGTTTAATTACTTGCCTTGTCTTGTGTTTCTTTCTGTTGTTGTTCTGGGAATTGTAGTCATTCTTATCTCTCTCTAGTATGTCTTTCAGCAGCTGCCCTAGGTTTGGTGGCAAGGAGGAGAGTAAGCCAAAGATCCAGGTCCAGAGAGCAGCAAGGAGGTGCATTTAATGATCTGTAGCCATCCTCAGTCCAGCGTGCGAGGAGGAGGGGTAGCCAATGATCTGTGGCTTCCCTGGTTCCAGGGGCGAGGAGAAGGGGCAGCTGATGATCCCAAGGCCATCCAGGGCTGGGGGATGAGGAGGAGGGGCAGCCAACATTCCAAGGCTGTCCCAGGTCCGAGGAGCAAGGAGCAAAGGCAGCTGACTATCAGTGGCAATGTTGTTGTCACGTGACTGGATTTCACACTGAGGCAAGGAGGAGTTTCACCATAACCTTCACCAGTCTAGAGAGTGACAAAGGACACATCCTGGCCTTCCTGTTTGTATGCGAGCCTTTTGAGCACCTGGCATCTGCCTACAGCAACAAATTCATGAGAAGCTGTCATGGGTGTCTCTTATCAGATTGAGATAAGGTCCCTGAATGTTTATTTTCTTAAAGGTTTTTATCATGAATAGATACTGAATTTTGGCAAGTCTTTTTCTGCATCCATTCAGAAAATCGTGTAATTTTTGTTCTCGTTTTTGTTCAAGTGATATATTTATTGAGTTGTGTATCTTGAACTATCTCTGCATCCCTGGCATGAAGTCTACTTGGTAATAATATATAACTTTTTGAAGATGTGTTGCATTCTATTTGCCAATATCATATTGAGCATTCTGCATCTAAATTAAATAAAGATATTGGCTGGCAGTTTTTTAAAAATTGAGTTCTTTAAGAATTCAGTAGTGAATCAACTGGGTCCTGAGCTTTTCTTTGTTTATAAGTTTTGCTGTTGTTGTTGTTGCTGCTGTTGTTATTGCTTTAATTTCATTACCTATTAATGCTTCAATTTCATTACCCTGGCATTAAGTCTACTCAATCACAATACATAACTTTTTAAAGATGTATCTCACTGTATTTGCCAATATCCTTTTGAATATTTGTACCTATATTAATTAAATATATGGGCTGGTAGTTTTTTTTTTAATTGAGTTCTTGAACAATTCAACAGTGAGTCAACTGGGTCCTGGGTTTTTCTTAGTTAATAAGTTTTGTTGTTATTGCTGCCATTGTTTTTACTTCAATTTCATTCCCTGTTACTGGTTTCTTCAGGGTTTTTTAATCTTCTGTTTGTGTTTATAACTAATATTCATCTAGAGATGTTTCCATTTCTTCTAGTTTCTCCAATTTCTTGCAGAACATGTTTTCAAAATAGTTATTAATGATCATTTTAAATTTAGCATCTTAATTTATTATATATATGAATTTCTTCCTTGGACCAGATTTGAATTTGGATTTTTTTTCTAAGACCCTTAAGTGCATGATGAGGTTATTTCTTTGGGGCACTTTGTTTTTCTGATGTGAACATTCAGAACTGTAAATTTCCCTTTCTGGACTACTTTCATTATGTACCTTAGGTTCTAGTATGTTGTACCAGGATTACTGTTTGATCCTGGGAATTATCCTATTTCTTCAGTCATTTCTTTTTTGACTCCTTGATTATTAAATTATTTATCATTTAATTTCCATGTTTTGCATAATTTCTGTGGTTTTCTTTGCCAATGATTTCTGGTTACATTGTGCTATCATCTAATAATATGCATGGCATGATTTTGATTCTTTTGCTTTCACTTAAGAATGCTTTATGGGCAATATGTGATCTGTTTTAGAGAAACTTCCATGTGCTTCTGAGAATATGTTTTGTACCTTTGTTGGGGGAAACACTCTATAGATATTTATTAAATCCATTTCACTGAATCTTTGATTCAACTGTGGTATTTCTTTGTTAATCTGTCCCTTTGTGACAATGACGTTATGACATCCTCCACTACAGTTTTACTGTTTATCTGATATTCTATGTACAATAGTATTATATGAAGTAGATGCATCAGTGTTCAAAATACATATGAAAATTTTTATCCCTCCTTCTTGAATTTTTCCTTCATCAATATTTGGTGACCTTTGTTTGCTCTTATCAGTTTTGGCTTGAAGTCTAGTGTATCTGAAAATAGGATAGCTACTCTCCATCTTATTTTTGGGTTCCCATTGCATGGAATATTGTTTTCCATCCTTTGGTTTTTGGTCAGTTAATTTCTTTTTGTATTAAATGTGTTTCTTATATATAGAATATCACTGGGTTTTTTAAATCTATTTTGACAATCTATCTATTTTGTCTTTTGACTGGGGAATTGAGACCATTCACATTGAGGGTTACTACTGACATTAATTAACATTGACATTAGTCTCCTGCTGCACAGTACTTTTTTTTTCTGCTTAGTTGCTCACCCTGCCTGGCTTGTTCATTTCGTTCATTTCAGCTTCACCGTCTCTAGGGTAACCTTGGGTATGGGGCGTTTGCTTGTTTGTTTGTTTGTTTTCAATTGCTATTTTGGTCATGGATTTCTTAAAGTGTTCTTTGTCATGGAAAAACCTTATTTATCCATCAGTTTTGAAAGACAGTTTTATCCTGAGTTGCAAGTTGTTTGCTTTTAGGGCCTGAAAAACTTCACTGAAAGCTCTCCTGCCCTTTAAATTTTATGCTGAGAAGTCTGCTGTATTTCTAGTGGATTTGTGTTTACAAATGACTTGTTGCTTTTCTCTAAAAGCTTTAAGACTTTGTAGTAGAGTTGTGTTAGACTTTGGCATTTTGACTATGATAGGTCATGAAGAAGTTCTTTTTGATTATGACTATTTGGAATTCTACATTATTCAATTCAATTATCTGTACTTTTTTACTATTCCCTCATATTTGGAGGACTTTCTGCCATTTTTTGTAAACAGGTTTTTTGAAGCTATATTCTAATTTTGCACTAATTTCAATTAATCTTAACATTTATTTTCTTTGTGTCACCCATCAGCTGTTGTATCCTTCTTTCATGTCGTCCTCTTGTTTTTAAGGTATTTGAAAGCAAACAATCACCAACATCAGCCCTATCTACTGGTCCTCACATTCTGTCCCAGCATTGGTCATTTCTGTTGTCTGTACTCTCAAACTAATATGCAGTCTCCTAGGTATCTATGGACTCTACGTCTTTGCTAAACAATCACTCCTTTTCTATCACTTTGTTTAGCTTGGCTAAGCAAAAGCTAGTGTCTTCTCTGTACTTCGTATCATTTTGTTTATTAAATTCATTATCTGTTTAGTTATATCTTCTGTGAGCTTACAAATACTCCATTGGCATAGCTTTTATCATCTCTTTTATTATTCTAAATAGTTCAGTTGTGCGGGTATTGATTTGTTCCCCTTCTTTGCCTCATTGGCTCAGTTTTGCAAGAGTTAGAAGTTTCTGGATTAATTTTGTTGCCTTATCTTCTTATATTTGTATTTTATTTAGTTCATTTTTTGGGCTGAGTGATAGTATAATACAGGAATCTTGAAGTTGTTTTCTAGTTGCTCTTTGCATCAATCATAAATAATCAGTACTTTCCCAAACTGGCACCTGATTAGCCACCGTCTGTTGATATGGCAGACATAGCACTGTACCTCTCCAACTCTAGCCTACCATGCTAAAGGAATCATGTTCATTTCATTTTCACCATGCTGTTTTGAAGTTTTAAATGGCCATGGCTTTCCTGGGACTAGTGCTACTGGCCCAGTGCATTGTTTCTCCCTGGAGCTCCCAACTCAAGGGAACTTACCTTGTCTACAGAGACAGGTTCCCCCATCCAGGAGCCAGGGTAGCTTTCAGACTGCTTCTATCTTTTCTCTGTGTTGTGCAAAATTTCTTCAGCTTCTCTGTAGTTTCTCATTTTCCTGCCGTTATCTTCCAATTTTAGGAGACCTACTTTTATTCTCTTCACCAAATTGTTATTTTCCAAGTATCTGGAGTCCAGGTCCTGGAGAAGCTGCATTTTTTCTGTTGATTGCTTCTCTGAGTTTTGTTACTTTAGCATCTCTTACCTGCACTATCAATAGTTTCAAAACTAGTCACCATTATGTCTTCCACTCTTAAACCACTGCGATTCATTCTATACATTCTAGCAGACAATTCTTCATAAAAAATTAAACTGATCATATCTCTTTCTCGATTAAAATTATCAAGAGCTTCCTAATGCATTTAGAATAAAATGTAAACTACTTAACATTGAAAACAGGATCCTTCACGACCCCTCACTTGCATACCTCTTCAATCATATTCCAGGCCTCTTTCCTCTTTTATCATTTCCATCTTTTCTGGTCTCATGTCTCTTCTTAAAGTATTCCTTCTAAGATTTCCAACTGTGGAATATAGTATATTAACAGTTGTCTATGCATGAACACTATTTACTCTACTTCTTCATATGGCTGTTTTCTGATTTTATTACATTTTGTATTTACAGAACCTAAGGAAGATTTGCTATAATCTGTGGTCCATTATGAATGGCTTATCATTAGTTTATCATTTACTTGATGACATTTGATTTACTTTTCCTCCTCTGAGTGGTGAAAATTATGAAATTGAAAATATAATCAAAATATAATCACAGCCCACTAGATTCTGATGCTATAAGGTAAAAGATTTTCAATTTTTAGAATCACATGGAAGGTATAATTATGCTTCAGAACAGAATGTAAAAATATTAAAGACAGTTTACAGAAACTAAGCAACAGATGAAAGGGTGAACAGGATAAAAGATAGTGAGGAGCATTTATACTTTCCCTTACAAGATAGAGAATTAAAATATCTGACTGCATTTGAGAAATATGTTTATATACTAGCTTTTCTTTCTTAAAGAATAAGTTTTTGTGCATCACTTACTTAACAAAAGGAGTTGAAAAATGTTAAGTAACATAAGTATCAAAAACTGGAAGATGTGAACAAGCTAAATCCTCATCTGATAAATTTAATATCTAAAATGGAGGATAAGAAGTGATGGGTATGAATCAAAGCCAGCATTTTCTGAAGCCATTGATTTAAAGCAAGAGCCTAAAGTGGTAATTTTCTATGGTCTGCTGGCCATTTTAGAACTTTAGAAATGTACTGGTCAATTCATTATAAAGAAACAACTCAACTCACCCTCCCCACCCTGAGCCAACCACCATGGGACTAGACGAGAGGAAGCCATGCTCCCAGGATTCTGCCACCATTGGGGGACATTAATGAGCAGCCACCCTACACTCTGCCACCTTGGGACTTTTGAATGGAAGGAAACCAGGTGCCTAGCCCAATTCCCTGCACCATGGGATGGACAGCCCATGCCAGAAACACCCAGGACTCAGCAATCAGCTGACTCAAAAGAACACAGGAAAATGTCAAGATGGAGCAGGGTGCAAAATTTGTTCTAGCCTAACTAGAACAAATCCAGAAGCCATAGACACAAAAGAAATTAGAAGTCACACATGTGAAATTTCTGAAATGATAGAACCTGAAGAGCTTAGTGCTTCTATTGTTTAATTAATTTTGCAGGCTTATATCTCACCAGAACAAGTCCAGGAGAAATAGAAATAGAGAAAATTAGAAGCCACACACTAAGGTTTCTGAAACAAATGACAACTGAAGTAAAGAAACAACTTAGGATTTGTGCTTTTTGATTGACTTTGCATACTTGTATCTGTTGGTCTGAGCATCCACTTAGAGGATAACAGTTATAGTAACTATGATTGACTTCCTACTTTCTGGTTTTTTAAATCTAATATCATTCCCATTGTTTTATTTTCTTTCATTTTATTCTCTTTAAAATAAAAAAGGAGTGATAATATTCACCTATTACAAGAAACACGAAGGCAACTGCTAGAAACATAAAAACAGAAGTGTGAAACAGTTCCCTCTTACTGTGGGCCGGTGATAAAGACAGTTATTATAAGCTGAAACAAAAGTTCAGCAGGGTCTAGACTATATGCAATCCAGATCAATGAGTTAAGTATTTTGGCCTCTTTCCAAAGTGCAACTAGAAGTCACTCGCTATTGTTTTTGTTTTCTTTTCATTTAATAATTATGTATATTTAGGTCTATGTATGGCTGGAGAAGAGACTAGAAATCAGATTTGTGCCTGCAGAGTGAAGCATGGATTGGAAGAGTACATGTAAGGAACTATTTCTGAATCTCAAGCAAAAAAGATGGCAGTGTATAGAAAAATAACCAGTGCTTTATATTACATATAGTTTTTTCTTGGTTATAGCATGTCCATGATTATCAAATCAACTCATCTTAAACAATATTAGAATACCTCATTGTAAAATGTTTCCATTTCTTACATAACAAAATTTCACAGAAAAGAAAATTTTCAACATGTACTTCTCAAAGCTAAAACAAAATAAACAGTAAGATGTGGATATCAATTTTATTTAAATAGCAACATCCATTTAATTCAGTGGTAATATCTGAATGAACCATTGTGCTTAGACCCAACTAATTTACTCCTAGACAGAATTTTTAAGAACACTAATGACTAAAGATACCAGGATGACTGAAAGCACATTCTCATTAGTTCATGTACTCTCCACTCTCCATGTCCATATACATACTTACCAGAAATGTCATTCAGCTTTCAGTAAACATGTATTCTCCAGTTGCTACACTAATATGAATATAAATTAGGTATAATTCTTGGTCTGCTTATACTATAGGGCTGATTTTTTTCAATTTAACTTTTAAATTTAAAATAATACAAAAAATGAATTATAATATTCACGGGACATAAAATAAGAACACAGCACATTTGGAAAAATCAATGAGTCTTTCCAAGGCCAGAACAAAAAGAAAGAGTGACATATTTTAGATTTTACTCCTTGATTAAACTCTCCATTGATGTCTTTCTTAATGTTCTCTAAAAGACCAAATTATATTAAGATTTGGCAGAGTTAATGTGTTTGATTAGAAAAAGTAAATGGAAAATAGAATTTAATCAGTAAAATTATTGGCATTTCACTCTGCAAATTACAGAAATTTCCAGTGCTATTTTAAAACCAATTATGTAACCTTACTTTGCAATCAAGCAAGCTGGTTCTATTTCTTTCTTATCATCTTCTGTTGGACTTAGGCTATATCTAGACTATGAAAATGAGTTATTATCATGCTTTTTCCCATCACAAACCAGATTTCTCAATCCCATATTATCATTAAACCTATAAACTTCTATATGAATGAGAGCCTAACAAACAGGACAATTGTGTCATCACACAAAACAAAATAAGCAATATTATAAAACAGGCACAAAAACTCAAATACTCCATATTCTTTTCCTTTTAATACTCTTTCTCTTCTATTATTGTCAGTAATAAGACAGTTTTTCAGTTGTATATGCTAACTCTGGTTGGTTCTAGTATTACCATGTTGTCTCATTGTTCCATTAAGGAGTCAGTGTGTAAACTGATATTCAGTGCCATAAAAAAAAATAATAATCTCTATATTTCCTTTGTATATCTGGATTGAAGTACTAAAAATTAAGCACTAAGATAAATATTGCTATTTTCCTCAATTTTCAGATTAGGAAACCAAGTGTAAGACTTTAAGTTTACAAAACTATAAATGACACTGTAAGGACTGCTAAAATTTACATGTGAAGCATTGGAACAAGCATCCAATCAGGATGATCTGACCTGAGAATACATGTTTTTCATCACATAAACTACCCATATTTTTCTATAAGTTGTCAAAGCTCTCTGCTTATAATATCTGCCCCAATTAGAGGATTCACATTTCATTATTTCACTACTTCTTTTAAAAAAGATATTGTTTCGCAGTTAGAATAATCTAGGCTCATGCTTCAGTCCTGCTGCTCATAGACCAGATCAAAGTCAAGAAATAAATTTTAAGTCTGATTTCATCTTCTGTCTCTCATATTCCAACAGTCAAATAGTATTTTCTATCAACTCCAGTAATCTGAATACAACTGTACTCAACAAATTATGTTTAATATTACTTTGATAGTCTATTGCTCACAAATATAGATGGCTCTAGAGATTCTAACTCTCAGTGTTTACTTAATTCAGAAATCCTCTGCCAAAGAATTTTTAAAAATGATGGGTCTACATCAAAACTGTATTTCCTATGTGTCCCCAAAAATATATATATAAAAGACTTTCACACACTCAATTCCTTTGCTAGATAGATAAAAATTTCCTATCTATAAAGTTAGCTCAATGTGAGGGAGTGACTCCTAGTCAAAAGTCAACTACACTAAAAAAAACATGTGAAATAAAGCTAAGCAACAGTAAAGGAACTTAGTAAAGTTTTAAATATCTATTTAACAACTCTGTTTAAAATAAGATGATAATACATAGAAAAAAGTTTTTTAAAATGTGAACAACTATCCTTCACTCACTAGTGCAAATGGTGCTATAAAAAGAATATATACAGTATCTATATCTGGAGAGGAAAGCTCTTTCAATCAGCTGGAGATGTTGTCAAAATATGAAAATTAAATTGCCTTAAAAAACTAGTATGCATACATCAGAGTTTTCAAGTTTGGTTCCAAATTCGGTTTCAAGTTTGCAATGAAGTAAGTGTCACAATAAAATAAAAAAAATTTGTTTACTAATGCATATAAAATTTATAAGCTACACTTATAGTCTATTAATTGTGAGTGCCTTAGTTAAAAATACTTCATTACTATAAAATGCTAACCATCATCTAAGAAATTGTAAAAATGACATCTATAATTTATTTCAATGCTGGACGTACAAAAATCTTCAACTTGTAAAAAAGGCAATATCTGCAAAGTGCAATAGAGCGAAGTACAGTAAAGTGAAGGGCAATAATATGAGGCATGTCTGTAAAAGCACTGTAAGCATTCACAGGAAATAAAGGCCATCCACATGGGCAAAGCAGTGTACACCAAGGTAATGTAACACTTAATTGAGTTCTTGAGGATATACATGGCAAGACGACCCAAGAGTGGTAAAAATCAAGCTGGAGAGACAGATGAATAACAGATCATAGAGGTCCCAAAATATTTTTCCAAGAAACTTTCACTCTATTCACTTTATTTTTGAAGGAGAAGCACATTTTTAGTGGGAGAGTTGCCACATATGTGCTTTAAAATAACATTAAGTCAAGATTCTATAGGCACAGAGGAGCCTTTAAATAAAATAACTTCCTTAAAATGGTGGAAAAAAAGGAAAACAAAATTTAACTTTTAAATAAAGTCATATTTGGGCTGGAATGAATATGAGGTGGCTTTAATTATATTCAATATATAAAAAAGGCAAAAGGTAAATAAAAATGTGTTTGCAAATCAAGCATAATATTCATTTTCCATTGCAATTTAGAGTTAGGCATTAAGTTAGACTCAAATTGAATATCTCAACTATAGTACTTGTTTTATGATATAACACTTCACTGGAAAAGCTTACATATTTTTTTAAATAAAAGTCTAAAATTACATTGACATTGAAAGTACAAAATAGTTCTTCAAACATTTACTCACTGGTTTGAGTGGAAAGACTGTTTCTAAGCTATTTATCCTATTTACATTATCAGTAAATTAGTTATTTAATAACATTTGAATCAATGTTTTTATATGAATTTCCCCACATGACTTTGTTCAACAAATACTGTTGGCTGACATATTTCCTGACTCTTTTACCCTCTTCTTAGTTCTCATAAAAACATTTAACAAAATATTAATAGTTCACAGTTTCTATACATCAATTATACACCCTACCTCACTCAGGCCACATAGCAACACCGTGAAATAAGCACTATAATTAGTGCCCATTTTATGTTAAGGAAACTGAGGTTTAGAGATGTTAAGTGATAAGTGACAGATCCAGAGTTAGAACAACAAAATAGAGCACAAATTCTAGAGCCCACACTTTTCACTACCCATGCCACAGAATAATTTCAATGTACAAAATACATTCTCTAGTTTTTATATCAAATAGTCAATATCTAAATCTCAAACAGTCTTTAAAATACCCATTCATCTCACTTGAAAGTAAAATCATTTATTCAATAAGTATTTTTAAACATATGTCACATGGTGTTCTATAAACTGGGTATATGGACAAAACAGGCAAAATACAGTCACAATTCTAGTAGGAAATATAGAAAATATACAAAAATAAT